TAAGATAGTCTCTTCTGGGTGATCCAAGCTGCTTCTGGGTAATCTCTTCTGAGGTTGATCAGCAGCTGTTGTAGGATTGCTGGCAGTGCTCCTTTCAGACGTTGAAGGAGTGTCTGTATTGAGAGCTTCTGATGACTTGTCTTCAGAACCTGTAAATTCAATTTCCATACCTGCAAGAACTTCATTCTGCTTTGACTTTTCAGAGTCAAGCTTATCATCAAAACAAACACTGATTGATTCTTCCACAATCTGTGTTTCTGTATTGTATACTCTGTACCCTCTTGAGCGTTCAGAGTATCCTAACATAATACACTTCTGTGCTTTAGAGTCAAACTTGTTCAAATAATTCTTTGTATTTAATATAAAGCAAGTACATCCAAATGGATGAAAATATGAAATGTTGGGCTTTCTGTTCTTCCACAATTCATATGGAGTCTTTTCCAGAATAGGTCTTATTGAGATTCTATTCTGAATGTAGCACGCTGTGTTTATTGCCTCTGCCCAAAAGGTCTTAGCAACGTTTGTCTCATTGATCATGGTTCTGGCCATTTCTTGCAATGTTCTGTTCTTTCGTTCTACAACTCCATTTTATTGGGGAGTTCTAGGACAAGAGAAATCATGCAGAATGCCTCTGTCATTAAAGAATGACTCAAAATCTTTGTTTTCAAATTCTCTACCATGATCACTTCTGACTTTAACGATTCTAAGATCCTTTTCATTCTGAACTTGGTTACAGAAGGTAACAAACACAGAGTGTGACTCGTCCTTGTGTCTTAATAACTTTACCCATGTCCATCTGCTATAGTCATCTACGATTACTAACCCATACTTCTTGCCACTGACTGAAGCAGTTTTAACTGGTCCAAATAAGTCAATGTGCAGAAGTTCTAATGGCTTAGAGGTAGAAACAACATTTTTGGATTTAAAAGAAGGTTTTGCAAACTTGCCTTTCTGACATGCTTCACACAGAGCATCTGAATTGAACTTCAAATTAGGAAGTCCTCTGACCAGATTGAGTTTGTTAATCTGAGATATTCTTCTCATACTAACATGCCCTAATCTTCTGTGCCAGATCCACTACTCGTTGTTAACAGACAGAAGGCATTTTATATTCTGACTCTTTAGTTCAGAAAGTTTGATTTTGTAGATGTTGTTTTTCCTCTTACCATTAAACAGGATAGTCCCATCTTTCTGACTAACAGCTTTACATGATTTTTGATTAAAGATTATATCATAACCGTTATCACTTAATTGACTTATGGATAACAGATTATGCATCAATCCATCTACTAGCAGAACATTATTAATAGAGGGAAGATTTCCATTACCTACAGTTCCAGAGCCAATTATCTTTCCCCTCTGATTGCCTCCAAAGCCAACGTGGCCTCCTGGCTTAAGTTCCAGGCTTTGGAACATATGCCTTCTTCCCGTCATGTGTCGTGAGCAGCCAGAGTCCAGGTACCATGACTGGTGTTTCTGACTTGCTGCTAAAGATATCTGCAACATGTATTATTTTATCCTTAGGTACCCAGATTTTCTTGGGTCCTGATTTGTTAGTTTTACCAAAACTCTGGTTGAATTTTGGTTTCACAGAGTGCTTACTGCTAGTGTATTTAATATCATGTGTGTGACCATACACAAAATGTGAGTTCAGAGGAGTGTGTTTAATTGTTAAGTCCATGACATTCTTTGGTGTAGGAACCTTACTTTGGTATCCTATTCCTTTCCTGCCGTTTCTGCTAACTCCATAGATCATTGAAGCCATTTTGCTTCTATCTATGCTTTTAGCTAGGAACTTCTGGAAACTGTGATCATACTCCTTGATGATCTCATCAGCGTTGCTGGGAGTTTCAGAAATTGGTTCCTTCTGAGAGTTTTGTAAAGTGTTTTCTAATTTTGAAATCTTATTTCTCAGCTCAGAATTCTCCAATTTGAGACTCTCAGTCTTATTAGAGTCAGATTCAAGATTCCTTTTCAGGTCTCTGAATTTAACTCTAATTTGCTGATACCGTTCCAGAATCTCATTAAGGCTTTCAGCAAGTTCAGCCTTGGTAAAGTTAACAGCAAAGTTAGGAAATACCTCTTCAGTATCTGATTCTGAGTCTGATTCAGAAGCTTCACTATCTTCTGAGATGTTAGCCATGAGAGCTATGTTTGCCCTCTCATCATTTGATTCTGAGTCAGCTTCAGACGAGTCAGAGTCATCCCATGTAGCCATGAGACTTTTCTTCTTCTCTCTTCCAAACTTCTTTTTGGGCTTTTCCCTCTGAAGCTTTGGGCAGTCACTCTTATAGTGTCCTTGCTCATTGCACTCATAGCAGATGATGTCCTTGGTGTTTGGATTTTTGCTACTGGAGGAGCCTTCAGATCTTCTGTATCCAGAGGAAGAATCTGTCCTTCTGTATCTGGAAGAAGACTCGTTCTGATCAGATCTTCTGGGATTCCTGAACTTCCTTTGTCTTTGCTTCCACAGTTGATTTACTCTTCTGGAAAGGAGGGAGAGTTCGTCTTCTTCTGATGAGGATCCATCAGATGTTTCTTCAACTGCCTGCAAAACTTTAGACTCAATTTTTTTGTTAGATTTTAATGCTAAAGGCTTACCTTGCTTCTGAGGCTCGTCATCTTCTAGCTCTATCTCATGACTTCTGAGGGAGCTGATAAGTTCCTCCAGAGTGATTTTGTTGAGATCTTTAGCTAACTTCAGAGCTGTAACCATTGGTCTCCACTGCTTGGGTAAACTTCTGATGATTTTCTTGACATGGTCAGCAGTAGAGTATTCTTTGTCCAGAACCTTGAGACCAGCTACCAGAATCTGGAATCTTGAGAACATTGTTTCAATGGATTCAGATTCTTCCATTTTGAACGCCTCATACTTCTGAATGAGCGTTAGAGCTTTAGTTTCTTTGACCTGAACGTTGCCCTCATGCGTCATTCTGAGTGAGTCAAAAATATTCTTTGCTGTGTCTCTGTTGGAGATCTTTTCATATTCAGTATAGGAGATGGCGCTGAGGAGGATGGTTCTGGCCTTGTGGTGATTCTTGAAGTCACGCTTTTGTTGGTCAGACATTGTTTTTCTCTCAATCTTCTGACCGCTTGCATTCACAGGGTGCGTGTATCCATCTGTCACCATATCCCACAGATCAGCATCATGTGCCAGAAAGAAGCTTTCAATTCTGTCTTTCCAGTAATCAAAGTTTTCTCCATCAAAGACTGGAGGTTTGCCGCTGAATCTGTCTCTGTCCTCATTGTTGTCATTGTTGGTGTGAGAAACGTTTCCTGCCATTGTGTTTTTTTGACGCTGGATCTTGTACTGACACGGTTAAGTGTTTTAGCTCAGAACCATGCGCTCTGATGCCAATTGAAGTAGTGAAAAACACAAGAAGGGGGGGGGGGGGTTGAATTGTAAAACTGAAAACTAATGCAATGAACAAGATATTTTTATCCTGGTTCGTTTGATCTCAAACTACTCCAGTCCACCCGTCAAGGTGATTTCGCCTCTCTCCAACGAGGTCTTAATCCACTATATTCAACTGAATATTACAGACTGCTTTAACAACTGCTAAAGCCTTCTTGATGCAAACCACAACCCGGTTTGTCAAGGAAACACTTTCTTACAAAGAAGATAAATCTAAGTGTGTGAATGTTTTCTACAAAACTGTATCACAACTGTGATGTATACACAACTTAAAGCTTAGAAACTAGATTGTTAAACAATGATAGAATATCAGAATGTGTAGTGTTTAGCAAAACTGAGAGATGGAAGATTTTGATCAGCTTTTTATGCGTGTAAAGATTTGGAGAGCATTAGCCAATTCAATCTTCAAAGTCTTGTTTATATAGCACTGAGATGTTGAACGTTGGAGCAATATTCTTGATTCAATGCTAATAACAAACTTTCCTTATTGAGCATATCTTGTCTGGAATGAGGCCGTTAGTATTAATTTGCTTTCAATGCACAGTACCGTTGCTTACTTAATGCAAGTTCTGACTTGGCTCATTCTGACTCTGCTTAGCTGCTGATGAACTGTTGTGTTTCTTTATCAGAGTGTTGAGCGCAGTTCTGTTCATCAGACTTCAGCATATACATGAGTTGATCATCTGATACTGACATTCTGATATGGCAACTTCTGATGCTAATGTCAGGAACCAAATTTCTGATGCTGATTAGGTGTGATCTTGCTTGTATCAATCAGAGTATCTGCAAATCAGAGTGTAATAACTTAGGCAGCAGATAGTTCATACATGAATCATATAAATGATGTATCTTTTCACTTTGTTATCATCAAAACTTAAACATAGGGTAGTAGATTCAAACTTTGTTCTAACAGGCTTAATAGAAGATGTTGTGAACTTGGTATCCTTTCTTTTAACAGAGACTATTATATATCAAAGAAAAGGGATAAAAAAAGGAAAACAAGTTAATTCCGAGGATTACAAGATCTTAAAAAATAAGCCCAACTTATTCTTCACAAAATCATTCTGAATATCCGGAGGAATGGAATCAAGAAAGTGGTAGAACTAATGTCGAGCGCGACGTTCGCTAAAAAATCGGTACAAGTTTTACCTTCTTTATAGACGTGAGTGATAATAATGTGATAATAATATGAGAAAACCTATGATGAAGGAGGAAAAAACGCAATCTATTTTTAAAAATAAGAGGAACTAAATTGTGGTTGGTAAAAGTTTTGACAACCAAACTAGAATCGGTTTCAAATCAAATCTTAGACCAACCTCTATCAATACTAATCAATCTCCATGGTTTTGATTATCGCCCCAAATTCCACATGAATGGAAGAACATCCTGCCACCACCGGCACGAATGCTATCGAGAATAAAAGCATTGTCACTGTTACATTTGATCCATCCCAACAGTAGAGGACAAAATCACTTTTTGATCACTGTAGCCTTAAAAGCTTCGATGAAGAGAAAATCCATCATATTTAAGTGAACAGTTTTTAAAGAAGCATTTCCAACAATTTGAACTTGTAAAAGAGTCCACTCTAGATTTTACTTTGTATAATTCCTCGCTTGCCAAATCTTGAAAAGAATATTGATGACCGCAGCACAATGAACCAAAGCAGCCTGCGGGGATTTGTTACGACAGCTGAGAGATCAAGCCAACCAATTATAGAATTAGGATTGTTGTTGATTTGAAATTTAATCATAATCCACTTCCAAATATGACTCAAGAACTTGCAGCTGAAGATGAGATGATGAAAAGTTTCGGACGCCTCACCCCAAAGCGAACAGCGGGAAGCTATCTGAATACCTCTATCCATAATAAAATCATCTGTATGAATCTTCTGGTGGTTCATTTTCCAAACCAGAATGGATTTGCTAGGGGGTATTAGAATGCCAAATCTCTTTGCTCCAAGGACAGTCCGAACCAGATTTGGCCTTGAAGCAGTAAGCATCTTTTAAAACTAAAAGACTTGTAGTGTTGCAGTTCCAGCCAAGATAATCATCGGCACTGTCATCAGGTGGCGGAAGGTGGGCAATCAGCGGATTCAAAAACAGAAACCAAGCAAACCAATCTGCCGGAATATTCCAACAACCATTAGTCGAGAGTTCAGCGATTCTAATGTGGGAATTTATACCTTTGTTAATCAGTTGACCAATGTCAATATCATTAATAAGAGGGTCACCTGTCCAATTATCAACTTTCATGGCAATATTCCCACCTTTTTTATTGTTTTCCAAAACATTTATGGCTTCCGATGCTAGAAAATGCAGTCTCTAATGTTTCTACCTTGAATGAAGCCCCGTTGCTCCTTCGAAATGAGGGAAGGCATTATGGAAGAAAGCCTAGCCGCGATGATCTTGGTGATGATCTTGAATTTGAAATTAGATAGCGCTATTGGTCTGAATATATCCATAGATTGAGCCTCAGGAGTCTTGAGAATGGCGTTGAAATCACCAACAAAACTCCAAGGAATCTTCACAACATTGATTATGGTGAGCTCATCTCAAAGGATCCTTCTTTTCACGTGACAGGTAGATGCACAAATCGCAAGAATTCCAAACATGGTGTTGTCAGAATGACAGATGAAGGCAACATGTTGGTCCGAGACGCTATGAATTTGGGGAGTAATATTACTGTTGCAAATGCACTAGAGATTAGGAGTCAACATGTTTCTATTATTGACAACAAAAAGAGACATTTGTAATCGGTTCCAGAAAGTGGGGGGAAGTTGGTATGAGACATCCATGGTTCTGCAATTATACAGAAGTCTGGTTTGTGAGATATGATGTAATCTCTAAGAGCTAACTTTGATGGGGAGTTAGCAATGCCTCGTATGTTCCAATATAGGCACTTCATAAGGAAGATTTCCCAATATCAGATTTTGGTCTAGTCCCTTAAATCTCCTTAGTTTTTTTCTTTTTGCTCATTTTCTTCTGAGATCTAGAAATCACGGGATTGGAATTTGCATTACAATCTTCACCTGTAGAGACTTCTCTATCTGATTGTTCCGCCATATTTGCCCAGGCTTCTTTAAGGAAGTCTTCAGCAATGTTGTGAGCAGCCATTGGTTGAGTAGTGATTATGGACAGTTGTGTTTCATCCACATAATCATTATCAGAATTTGACACATCTATGTGAGGGTCACCCTTGTTGTCCATACCTTTGTTATTCATTTGTTTGCTTTTACTGGAATCAGTTTGATTTTCCACCTGCAATTCAAGAATCGGAGATAGCACTATAGGATTTTCAATGTCATTATTTTTATCAACTCCACTTGTCTCACCTCGAGATATAGGGGTTTTCCCTAAATCAGGAGCATTGTTATGAGGAACGCCTTTGGAACTCTGAGGTATTTTGCTGGAATGCGGGGGTTTGGTTTTAGGTTGGTTTTCTGAGGCTAGTTTCCTTCGGCAAGTTTGTGCGTTATGCCCCAAGAATTTGCAGTAGCTACAGAAGTCCGAAATTTTCTCATATTGGATGTCCACAAAGAAGGCGAACCCAACTCTTTCAACAAGAATCCAGTCTCTAAGTTCACTCACTAGGTCAATATCTACCGAGACACGAACAAAGTGTCCAAAAGGTCTCTAATAGGGGTTTGTTAGAGGATGAATCTATGCATATGGGTGTACCAAGACTGCTGGCTATTGTAAATATGATTTTGGGTCTCCAGTATTCTTGCGCAAGACCATGAATTTGAACCCATACCTGTGCAGAACTTTGATTCATATTGGAGGGAATGAAATCTTTGGTCCATGGGAAAAGCTTCAGAATACCAGGATTGAGATTCCAAGATGGAGTGGCACGAACTCTTCGGACATCTTCAATACTGGAGAAAGAAAATTCGAAAAATCCTTTACCAAGAGAAGTCACTCCCCATTTTGGAAGCGAGCTCCATAGTGCTTGAAGTTTGGTCTTGAGTTGTTGTACTGTAAGTGGGGTGGATCCTTTAGGCCAGAGTATTCTTCCATGGAGGTTGTGCTTACATGAATCCAACCCCATTAGGTATTCATCTTCGGGTATCTGAGATAGAGAGTTTATCTCCTAATTGAAGGGGAATGTAATTCTTGCAACTATCTCTCTTATAAATGATTAGCAAATTGAGTTAATAAACAAAGGAAATCCAGATTCTTGCTAAAGCTAACAAAGACTGATAGCAGTGTTTCAAAGAATTTAGCAGGAACCCTTGAAATATTTCTTTGATGAAGACCGAAGAGTTTCGTTCGGGAGTTGGATGTGTATCACTATTCGTAATATTGCACCAAACCAAAGTGAATTATTCGTTCAGGAGTTGGATGTATATCACTCTTCGTAATATTGCACCAAACCAACATGAATTATCCAAAAGATGTAGCCTAGATTTTTATTTGTATCTAGTTGGAAGAGAGAAAGTTACACTCTCAATACTGGTGCATTCATTCCTATATTTCTTTCTAATTAGAATAGAATGACAGGAAAATATCTGGCAAATGAGAGAATTCAAATTTGCAGTTTTGTTTCAAGTTCAATATAAGAAAATTGAAGTGCTGGAAATCAAATCGGGATCCATATGGATAATAAGCAGATAATAAATCCAACACAATAAGAATATAATGCAAATTAGTTGCATGTCATATTGCTAGTTCATTAGCCAAATTGTTTCAAGTACTACAACACAACGATTTTATTCACATATCCAAACCATGTTTTACATTTCTAAATTCCAATCCATTCTGAAAACAAGCAAACTGACTTAATACAAATGCAAACAGACTCGAAATAAATAAAGTTTTGTTCATATGACCCTTCAAGCACTAGCAACAGCTGCATGCTTGTTAATTGTCAATAGCAGCTCCTCCTTCTTAGCACCCACAACTTTGTCCACAACTTTTCCTTCTTTGAAGAACAGGAATGTTGGCATAGCTTCAATTCCCCACTCCTCGGAAACAGTCTGAAGAAACCAATGAAATTAGTAATAAACACTAACGCATTCAAGACCAAAGCCAATAGATTTTAGATATTGCTCACCTTCAATTCATCAACATCAACCTTAAGGAAGGTGACATGTGGAAGCTTTTTAGCAATCTCTGCCAAAATTGGAGCAATGAAACGGCATGGGCCGCACCAAGAAGCAGTGAAATCAACCACAATCTGTCGACATGATTTCCTTTCAGTACTTTGAAATTAAACACTATTTTGCTCAAAATATATCACATACACACAAACAAACCCAAAATCCCTCACCATCTTCTAAACCCTAACATCATTTCCTACAAAATCCAACAAATTAACACCAAATTCCAAGCCATGAAGGATCAAAATCATGCATCAACAACAGAATTTGAATCAAGAGCTCATTCAAAAACCCTAACGCGTTTATAATTTCGGAAGAAAAAAAAACTAAAAAAAATTCAAGAGAAATTTGAGGGTAATAACGAACTAACCAGTTTCTTAGAGGCATTTCCCTTCTGGAGCTGTTCCTTCCATGCCTCCACGCTGTGAACACCGATCACTTGTCCCTCTTCTGCCATTTTCTTCTTTCTTCCTCGAAAATAACGCTTCTTCTTTCAAATACAGTACTTTTCTCTTTGATTTTCTATGATCTTAAATCCAACCCCGATACTTGTTATATACTGTAAGATTTTCAATAAAAAAATATAACACCGTGACTCGTCATTTTTTGGTCTATAAAAATTACAAAAATACGTTCCACGCGCTTTCTAGATGCACGTGTCAAATTTCTATTCGTCAGAGTCTCTACCTGTCATCAGCAATGACATAACACAAGAAAAAGCGCGTGACGCGTGAAGTATGAACACAAATTCACGTGTATAATTCTGATTCGAGTATTATTCTGATTTTTTTTTGTCGCCGTTTTTCTAATTCAAATTTGGGCCAAATCCCAAAAGAGAATGAATATGGGCTTAATAACTGACTTTGTTCATAAGATAGAACTAAGATAATTTTTTGACAGCCTATCTACTTGAAAAATAATAAAATATTCAATGCAATTTCTAAAAAGCTTCTCATTTTTGTATTTTCAAACCTTTTTTTTTAATTTAACATTAGTTTATTTCAGAAATATGTTTTTGTAATGTCCTCGGAGATATATTTCCGTAATTTATGCAGACTAACTTATGAGTGAAGATTACACAACTTTAATTTAAAATTTACGTCGAAGTCTATATATTTAATACAATCCAAAATATATCAAAAGTACAAACGTAGTAATCTATTGCGTATGACGGACTATGAGTCGGTCTCACTCTCGTCCACTGTTTCTACGCCGCCTCCTGTAGTGCAGAGCCTCTCGAGCCTCTGCCATCATGGCATCTACAACGCCCCTCGCCTTAGAGTCATTCAAAAAAGAATCATTCATCGATACCCGTATGTCCAATTTGCCTGATACAATGACACATAGGCAAGACATCATGAGAATGATCAATCCTAGCTTGCTCATCCTCTAGTATATCTTAATGAGTTAGCCTAGGTGGGTCTCTTGGAGCATCATGCACCATATAAAAATGTGACACCTGGAAGAGCCATCAAATGTAACAGTCTACGTAGTTCCATCCATTCTCAATTATGGTACTATGTGCCTCGACCGATACCATATGATTAAGATAATCATCAAACATATCATCCATGTCTCTTCATTTCAGTGGGAGGAGCAGGCACATAAGGATCCCTAGGAATGTACTGCATGTAGCCGAACTGACGCATGACACGCTCAGGCAGATGAGGAGTTGTCAAACATGACTCGCAAGCCAATCATCATCAATATAAGATAATGTCATCAAATGGAATCGTCTTACAATGATTGACGTAACAATGAAAGTGTATATACTCAAATACCAAGCGATCAATATACACCCTGAATGGCTTTGTCGCAAGGTTACCTCTAAGCAAGGATAATGCAAAAGCATGTGATATATCCTCAGTATAAGTCAGGTCAAGTGGCCTAGCAGAGATGCGTGAGAAGTGTTGCATAATACAAGCCTTAAAAATAAGAATCATTAATTAGTTAGTAACGATGTTGTAATAATTAATAAAATGGCAGACAAGCAATATAAGACCAAGAAATGTTATCGTCAAAAGTGTGATACTTCTTGTCACCTGCTTCGTCTTCCACATATAACCTTCAGATAACTTAGAGTGCAATTAGACCAAACAAGCGGTCCCCCAGTTGTACTCGTGTATCTCCTCAAAGTTCTCAAAGTACCGCAGGTACATGACATCCACATAAGTGGCACTCTTATCCATAAAAATGGCAGTGCCAACCTGTTGTACTCTCAAATTTTCTCTCTCGTTTCTCAAGAATTTCCTCCCAAAATCTCCCATGACATCAAGTTTGCAGCACTAATACATCAATTTATGTTTGGAATTGGCACAAGGGCAAAATGGTCAAAATGAACACTAAAAAGTCAAACTTTGACTTTTGGATCAAAATCAAGTTTCAAGAATCATATTTCATCAGGAAATGTTAGAATATGAAGTTTGTTTCATCAAGAAAATCAAAAGTCAAAATTACTTTGAAAAAGTCAAAATTCTAAACACTTGGAAATTTTTCTAAGTGTTAAGAAATATGATAAGTTCAGAACTTCTGGTCAGGTTTTCATCATGATGCAAATTGATTCAGGAAGAACTTCTGACACAAGAGTTGTAGATCTCAATGAGATCTAAAACATTGTAGAACAGAACTTCTCCTAGAAATGCTGGGATTGCAAGTTATAAATCCTTGAAGACACGTCCATAAAACTAAAACACTTAGTAAATTCTGAGCATTTCCAAGTCAGAATTTGGTTAGAACTTCTGGGCCAGTTTCCATGTAGGCTCAATCAGAATTTGCAAAAGTGATTCAAAGAGGGGTTACAAAGCATGTTACAATCTTTCAGAAAACTCTGAGAACTCCTTCAGATCATGCTGGAGCAGGGAGAATCAAAGATCAGAAGTTGGACATTTGTTCTTAATCTAAGTTACGTTTGTGCTGAACTTCTGATCCAGTTTCAAGCTAGGTTGTATAATCTCAGGCTACAGGTCTTCTTGCTTGTTAAATATCATCATCATTTAATGCTCACACTCACTTTTGAGTCTTTATCCCCATGTTTAAACCTTTATCCAAAAGATCTTCCCACGTGTGGCATGAAAGTACCAATGGTATCCTTAGAAAGTAAACTTTTGTACAAAGTTTATGTTGGGCCCATACTTTACTTTTGCTTCTGAGTGTACTTCTCCACAAATCATTCCTACAAAATCAGATTAGGCGTGGTTAAAGCTGCTAACCACTCTACTTTGCCTGAAACTTGCTTGTCTAAACTTGCTTCAAAAACAAGTCAACGATCCATAACACGTGATGGTTGTACTCTTGACTTCTCCAAGCTTCTAAATATTTTGCCTATAAATTAAACTTCATTTGCAACTATTAGGGTGGGAGAAAACATTGAAAAAAGCCTTGAAACCTTGCTGAAAATTCCAAGAACCTGAAACTATAGCCCAAACACAAAACCTACTAGTTGCTGATTTTTGCATCCAAACTCTAATTTTTCTCGCGTGTTTCTTGACCAAATCATCCATACGGTTTCCAGAATAGACATAGAAGCTTTCCCAACTTCTGTTTTCAAACTGTAAAACGGTATTCACCACTCTCTGTTTCAAAAACTAGAACTTTGCACCTTGACTGCTCCAGAACTTTCCCACCATTCATATCTTAAGTTAAGAGTTGCTTTAGCTCTCTGAGAACTTGAGGAAGCTGACCAGAACATCACAGCAATTCGAACCAAGCTCTAATTCACAAAACAATTTCCAGTTGCAAGTTAAGTTTCTTCTGACTTTTAGCTCATTGCTTAGGTATTGTTAGGCTTGCATTTTCAAAAATACAATGTAGATATCATGGCTCTGATTCTGTACATATTTATAGATTTCATTTATATGGCTAAGTAGAGAGAATTTCATATCAGAACTTCTTGAGGAAACTAGTGTTCATAATTAGGATTATCAAAATTCATGCCTGCTTCTGGTTTACAGTTTTGATGCTTTGTATTTCTGAAACCATGTTGAAATTTGCCATAGCTTCTATGTTTGCATTTTCCATTTTTGTTTAGGAATAACTAAGTTGCAGATACTCTGGTTGGTGCGAAGAAGAAGATGAAGTCATCATCAGAACTTACTTTATAATATATGTTTATGTTTTTGCTTCTAATACCGGATGTATAGCCACCCCAGTGGTAGAGAGCGCGCACATAAGGCATTAGTGTTAAGGGTCCTGAGTTCTAGCCCCAGAAACACCTTTTTATATTTACTTCTTGACATTTTTCCCCATTATTTGTCAAACATTGATCCTGGGCCAGAACTTCTAGATAAACCCCCTTCAGTTATTTGTCAAAACAGTGATCCTGAACCAGAACTTCTAGATATACTCATCCAACAACATTGACACCTCACTTACACATTACCATAACTTCTAGCTTGCCAGTAACACTAGAACTTCTAGGTTTATATCTGCATTAGAACTTCTAGACTCTCTCAACAACCAGAACTTCTGACCTTCCAATAACACTAGAACTTCCAGGCTCCCCCATCAATCAAAACTTCCAACCTTCCAATAACACTAGAACTTTCAGGCTCCCTCAGCAATCAAAACTTAAAACCTTCCAGTAACACTAGAACTTCTAGGTTTCCAGTTGCATAAGAATTTCTAGGATTTCCTTTGTTCCCAGCAACCCCAGAACTTCTGGCTTTCCCCATTTTATGCTAACATTTTCTTTCTGATTTGCAGCGCACCAGAGTCAGAACTTATGCTCTTTCTCATATTTATATTCTTTCATCCATTCGCTGACTCTAACTTTTATTTTCTTGTTTTTATTAATCAAAGACACCAAAAATACTTCATATTCATACACTTTGCTTTATTTCTTTTAAAACAAAAAGACTAAAAACATTTCCTTAATCAAATTTATTTCTTCTCTTAACAAAAACAAAATAAGTCTATTTTACATATCTTGTATATCATTTAAATATGGTTGTAATAGATAATTAGGACTTTAATTCTCGCAATCCCTATTTGTAAATTTGTACACCCCATCTCCAAATGTTTGAAATAACATAGAATATTTATTTTCCGCAATTTATCGCTTTCTTATAAATGCTAGTAACTAGGATTTGTTTGGGAAGATAAAATCAATCTTAGAAAACACTAATCCAAGACAAATCAAGCATGAAATACAAACACTTGCACACTTGCACCTCTAAGGTTAACTCCACTTGTTGCCTTATAAAAATGGTCATGTTATGCATGTGAGACGTCTTAGCAAAAACGATCGAAAAATATAAGATCATAGTCCCTCGATGACGCTTTGTGTGATACAGTGGGAGAACTGACTTGGTTGTTTTTGCGTTTTGATCGCAATTATTGTGGATAGAAAGAGTCTCCACCGACTTTTCTTTTATCCAAAAAAAAGGAAAGGGTGAAAAGAACAGGAAAGACCTTTGAGATATTTTCTTGAGTTCGGGGGTAGATTATGAAAAGGAAAGG